AGGAGAGATAAAAATTCATATATTAATATCCTATATTTACAATAACTAATTTTTCTTTTTTAATATTTAAAACTTGATCAATTTGAAAGATTATGACTGCCTAGATCATTAAAGCAGTCTGATACTGATCCTTCTACAAATAAAGAAAAATCAGAAAATCATCGTTAAAATCAAAGGGAAAAAAGCCAGTGCATTGTACTGATAATGAATTGGAATCAACGTAAAATAATTCTGAAGATGATGATAATTCGACAACAGAAAAAGTTAACATAAAAGAAGCTAGGGTATATTTAAATTTATGTTTAAATAATTAAAATTTTTAGCTGATTTTTTCTTGCTTTTCGTATTTAAGCTGAAATGAAGGCAGTTTTGAAAACCATCAGCTCAAAGGATGATTTAAACTATGATAAATCTTTCAATAGCAAAAAAATGCTATATTACGTTATAATCTAATTCTAGAATTACAGAAGTTCTTGACTCTAAATTTTTAGCCTTCTGTTGATCAACTTATGAACTGATTGAAAATCCTTCATAAGTCACGTCAGACAGCTTAAAGAATTAAGAAAAGTAAAAAGAGCCTTTCAGAGCTGCGATGAATTCATAATAATAATTAAGTACATGAAGTAAGCAAATAAAATATATTTTGAATTTAAGTCTATTTGAATCAATAATTTATTATCATTTATTATTTATTAGAAAACAGCTCAGCGAGTAAAGGCTGCAAAGTATTTGTTTAAAAAAAATGACCAACGAATTATGAAATACGAAAGGCAATCTTTACTTTGAATTCTTAGCGATCACCTATATCATTCACCAAAAATCAGCAAAACAGATAAAGAAAATTGTCAAAGATCCGTTATCACTATATATGACTATTCTTGATGATCAGTTGAGGTTTATTATTTTCTTTATCTAATTTAGCATATTTCAAATTTATTTAATATATTCTACTAATTATTTTCTTCTTTAAGCTGAAAAATTCACTGAGAAAAGTACTCGATCCTTGTGCTGCTGTAATATCATCATCTCAAATTCAATGAAAGAGAAAATACAATGATGATATATAGCATTATGACTGACCATATCCCTATAATACTCTAAAGTGATCATATAAAATACAACCTAATATGGTTTACGATACAGGTTGAAGCAGAAGTTACAATTACAGAAGAATATATAACTGAAACTAAGGAATATGCTGAAGTCAGAAAGGGAGTTTCATCTACTGCTGAAGAAAGTGAAGACAATTCTGTAATGAATGATAGCAAATGATGAATTTTTGGCAATTTGGATGAAAACGGGTTGATTTTATTATTATTTTATTATTTCTTTACATTTTTTTTGGATGATTTGGATCAATTTTATTAATTTTTTTTTTACATTTTTTTCAGATGATTTGGGTCAATTTTATTAATTATTTTCTTTTCATTTTTTTCAGGTGATTTGGGGTGGAAGCAGATCAATTTTAATAATTATTTTTACATTTTTTTTAGATGATTAGGTCGATTTTAATAATTTTCTTTACTTTTATTTAGATGATTTAGGTAGGAACAGGTCAATTTTAATAATTATCTTTACGTTTTTTTCAGGCGATTTGAGTGGGAACAGGTTGATTTTTTATTATTATCTTTATGTTTTTTTCGGGTGATTTGGGGTAAAAATGGTCAATTTTATTATTTTTTACATTATTTTCTTTACGTTTTTTTAGGTGATTTGGGTGGGAACAGATTGATTTTATTATTTTTTTACGTTATTTTTTTCAGATGATTTGAGGTGAGACAGGTCGATTTTAATAATGAGCGTCCTTATCCTAGACCCCTGGTTCAAGATGAAAATTATAGACTCCCAGGGTCTAGGCAAATTAACTTAGACCTCCCTTTTTTTTTAGTAATTCTAAAATTGGTAGATAGATTGGAATTTTTTTTTCCTTTAAAAACAAGACAAAAAATGAAACTAAATTTTTAAAAACAAAAATAAACAGTTTTACTTAAAATTTCTGGATAATACTGTAGATGAATATTGATATTTTAATGAAATTAAAAAACAAGACTTCATATTTATCGCTTATATATAATACTAAATATATTTATTGAAAACTTTAGCGGGATTAAGAGTGATTTTGCATTCAATATTTATGAATAGTACTAAAGATGATATATATTGGTAAGTTATAATATTTTAATAGTGGGTAAGGATGGTCTTTTTAAATAAGCAATTAAAGTATTTCTTACTTAATTCCTATTAAAGCAAATATTAGATTCTTTAGAGATAATGTACAATTTAATCTTTAAATAGTTTTCTAAAGGAAAATTTATTTGTTTATCTACATAAAAATACATTAACACTTTCATTATTTTATTTATATAGTTTTGTTTTTGAAATATTTTGTATTTCTTTTAAAATCAAAAAATTACATTATATAGAATTTATTGTATATATGCATTATATTTTATTTTTTTATACTTAATAAATGTATATTTTTTTAATTAAATAATAAATTATGAATCATCTTAAAATTATTATTATTATTATATTTTTTTTTATACAATAACTTATAATCTGGTAACAATAATATTAAAACAAATATTTTATATTTTTTAAATAATTAGTTAAGCAAATATAAAAATCTTCAAATTTTTTAATTTTAATTTTTACAATTATCATTATGAATATATAAACCAAAATCAACACTATCAACCATTATTTCTTTTGCATTATTTAAAGAAATACCTTTATAATCCTCTACAATAAGTCTAATAGCAGTTTTAAAAACAAAAACTTGAAATAAGTATTGGGATGAAGGTTGCAGAATATAAAGATCTACAGTTAGTATTCCAATTCGAATAAATAATTCAGTTAAAATTTTTAAGATAATCACTAAGCCCTTAGGTCCATAATATCCAGGCTAAAAAAAATATAATTGATTAAATTATTTCATATTTTTAAATAAATATATATTTCTGATTTATACTTACTTGTAAAGATTCAAAATAATTAATTTGAATTAATGGATTGTTAACTTTTGATAATTCTATTTCTTGAATTTTTTTAATTGCATTTACGTGATATTCACTATATTTTTGTTCTTTTATAATTTTTAGTAATTCTGATTTCAAATTTGTAATCTGATTAGATAAATTTGCAAAATTTATACTGTATATAATGGAAATCCTTTTCTATTTTCATAAGGAATAATTATTTCTTCTCCTTTATGAACTCGACAAAATTCATATTGTTCAACTATATTATTAGCAGATACTATAATATAAGTTTAAAATTAGACTATATTATATTATTAAAAGGCATTTATATAAAATTTAATATAATACATACTTTTTCCTATTGAAATATTATTTAAATATTCTGATACTTTCAATGGCAATGGATTTGATAATGTTTCGTTACAATATGGACAATTATTGTTATTTTGATATATTTCTAAATAATTATTAATAAAATAATATATTAGAATAAAATATTTTTCATTAAATATAAATATAAATGCACTTACCTAAGTTTGATTCATTAGAAAAAACATTAGATTCAATAAACTGTGGAGATTGAGTAATAGGTGAAGAAGATAAATTTTGAATTTCATTTAATGGTTGTATTACTATATTTTGTGCTATATAAGTAGATTCATAATTATCTAAATCAATTATAGATTCTAATATATTATTATTGGTATTTTCATTAATTTTCTTCTTTTTTTTAGTTTTTTTAGCTGATTCTTCTATACCGGGGATTCTTTTATTAGATAGTCATCCTTTTTCACGAATGATTAATGGATTTTTTACTGTTAGTATAATATTTGAATTATTGGATTGTGTTTGTGTTTCTTTTTCAATTTCAGAAACAAATACTTCATTGAAAGAAGTATAAAAAGTTATAGCTGATATAGGATTTTGCGTTACAAATCGTTGTATTTTTTGTAATAATCGAGTAAGCATATATTGATAATCTTGATTATCATTAGATAAAGTTGTTGTTGATTCTTGTAAAGTCGTTGATGATTCTTATAAAGTTGTAATTGTATTTGAATATAATCTAATATAATTATTAATAAGTTCCTTTTCACTTGGATTTTTCTCCATCTTTCATAAAAAAGACTAGTTAGAAATTCATTCAAATTTAGTTGTATTGCAACTCTTAAAATATGCTAACATATAAAACCTGAAAATTGAGTATATTCACATGTACATGTGAAATGATTAGAATTAGAATCATATTTCACTATACGTCTATTTGTTTCTTTTTCATATCTTTGAACTTGAAAAATTATTTCAAAATTATTTGTTTGGCTATTTATATTTAAAAAAAAATAATCTTTAATAAAATATATAATTAAAATTATAAAATTTTATTAAAATATATTACCTTGATATTTCTTTACATTTATACATAAATAATTGTATCAATTGTTCTTGAGTTTTTTTTAAAGAAAAAGTAGTTAAAATAGATTCTATTTTACGTTCAAATAGACTTATAGTTTTGTATATAATATTGTAATTATTTTGTTAGTATATATGAAATTCAGTTTTTTCATTTTGTGTATCTAAAGCTGATTGAAATGCCATAATAAATGTCACAAGTGATGTACTTGTATCTAAATAGCCTTTTATCATATTATTCATAGATTCTTCACGTTGAATTGTAGTCATATCTGCCATAAAAACATTATGATTATAATATGCAGCCCATTTTTCTTTTGTCTTTTCCATTTGTGATAAATAAATTGATGCAGCTAGATAACATGTTTTAAGTGAATCCCATTGAGAAAGAAAACTTGAAATATCTATTTCTCTAAGACATTTATAAAGTTCTTTAATAAATGTTGACCAATTTGTACTAAGCTTTGCACATAAATTTTTCATTACATTTTTCATTAAATGCTATTGACATAAATGATGTTTTATGCTAAATGGTTGTAAAATTTTTGTGTAAACATTTGCTATTGCATGATCATCATCAATAAGAATAACCAATGGTGCATATTGATTGACCATTTCAAGAAATTTACTAAATACCCATATAAAATTATCTTCTGTTTCATTAATTATTAATGCATCAGCAAAATACATGTTATATCCATAATTATTTACTCCAGTAAAAATTCCAAATGGCATTTGAAAACAATTGGTTTTATAAGTATTATCAAATACTACAATATCATTAAATCTACTATAATTCATTCATTGTTCAAAAAATATCTACAGGGGGGTGAAATAAATATTAAATAATTTTTTCGCGAAGATTTATTACATCAATTTTATATGAAAATTTATTAATTAAAGCTAAATATAATAATTTATAATGCTTTTCTAATCAAAAATGGATTTGTTTTTATTGATAAATTGATTGTTTATTTGTTTATTTTGATT